TAAAAGCTCATGGAGGGTGGGATTGGGTCCATCCGTCTTGTATGCACGTAGTATGACAGTTCTGATCCAAAGCGGAGATATAGTACGTGAGATTTCATTCTGCGTGAAAGTTGATGATAGAGGAAATAATCTGTTGCATTATTCCCTTCTGTTTGGTTCGGTGGAGATAAATTTACAGTGCTCTTGCTGGCCATCGTGATAGAATCATCGTATCATGAAGTCCAAGTATGTCATCCAGGCGTGTTCATAAACCTCACTTGTGAGGTGTTGAGCACTATATTCAGATCCCCAAGTTGGAGGGTGAAACTTCCGTTTTAATTCACCAATCAGAAAGTTTAAGTAGGTTTACTAACCATCTAGTTGTGTTAGTAGTTTGATTATGAAATTCAGCTGTAGTCTGAGGCGCTGTGGATTTAGATCCACTTGTATCCGTCGTCTAGGTTATTAAGCTCTTGAAGTCCTTGGCGATGTAGGTGCACAACCAGGTGTGTCTGTCCTCGATTGAACTTTATGTAAAATTGCCTGACTGCCGTGCCTCGTCCCTAACTCTGACAGGGAGGTCTCTAACCTGAAGAAAGCAGCCCAATCATGAAGGTTCAGATTAACTGGACTGTAAGGAGGCTTGCTCGTTCACTGATATATAGTTGTCACTTGTAACGTAAGTCTTGAACTGTGAACTAAGATCGACCTCTCGTGGAAGTCGTTGTCCAACGCATGTCCAATCAGAACAAGGCATTTTGATTCTGTAGAATACCAGCTGTGATGTCACCGGTGTAGCAGGAAAAACCTTGTATAAAATCTTGCCGTCGTTGATATTAGCATAATCGCCGGTCTTCACCGTAGCTTCCGAAGTTACCCAGTGACCCGTGTTTCGAGGGTTAAAGGTAACGCAGCGAAAGCTCCTCGGCCGAAATACCTCGCTCTGTAATATTAATGCTGGGTAGGTTATTTTCCTGGCTGTCGTGAAAGTAACTTCAGTTTTGAATATAATTCCGACTTCCTTATATAAAGGTACAATAAACTTGCAAGTTGTCAGCTTGTAGACTGTATACATGAATGTATCGTCATAATTGTAGAATTAAAGCTGAACTTGTTGTACATATTTCTTCTCAGAAACTTTGACGATTATGAGTTATACTACGGCTGTAGTAAGGCTGCTGTTCAATTTCGATATTGAATTGTCTGCAGATCTGCGTAATGGTCACGCATGTAGATAATCGATCGTAGTCGGGATTGCATATTCTAGCAATCTATACGGAAAGGTTGATTTCTGTGAAGATCTATGAAACGTCGTTGACTAATTAATATAGCGGCGTTCTGTGTTGTAAATAGCCTGTGCAATTGTCTTGGTAGGCTTATAGGCGGCATATGGCATACAGTTGATAGACAACTTATGCGGTGTCTTGAAACGGACTGACGAAGTAGCTATATATGACGAAGTGGCTAATATATGGAGACCTTGGAGGAGATTTCCTTGGTGGGCGCCGGAGACTTGTGAAGCTCTCGAAGTATCCATTCTAGATTTTCTGTGTGAGGTAGACTTGGAGCCACTTAGCCTTCTCACGACCTCGCGAAGGTATCGAATCAGAACCCGATCAGTATATATATAATATATGGCTTGCTTCGCATAAGCGACCTCTGTGTTCAACAGGAGTGAGTGAGTGAGTGTTTTGTTTTACGCGCGCACTCAGCAATACATTGGGGTCGGTGAAGCGCTACTCCTCCGTGGCGACGCCCCTTGTAACTGGTGAGGCTAGCTCTAGCTCCTTGGCGGAGGTGGCCTGGGACTTCTTAGCGAAGTGTCTAGAATCGATCAATATATGGCGTTAGCTTCATACAGGGTGTGGTTCTTGCTGGTTCTGCATAAGTAGAGCGAGTAGATCATCCTATCATCTTCAGAAGTCGTGTCACGAAATCTGGTGATAAGAATCATTGATCGTTCTAGATCTATTAAGGCTTAAGAACATACGCCTCTGGCGTTTGAACTGTTATGGCTTTATGGTAGGCTGTGTCCACATACTGTGGCACCGCGGCAATCGAAGTCGATCGGAGGTAAGGTGATGGCGTCTGCCTCGTCTTCCTTTATCAGGTATGTCTGCGCCGAGTTGCCACTCTTGGAAGGTGAAGAGAGATCTAGGTTGTTTACCATCCAATATCGTATCTCAGCGTCTGAGAAAATGATGCCTCCATCATTTTCTATCCCAGCATCGCTGATGAGAGGTTGATGCTCTTCTGATGGTGGACTGTGTATTTCTATCTCTATGTCGGGTGGCGCGGGGAGACCTGACTGTAGACTTGTGTGCAGACTTGTGTGGTGACCTGTGAGACGATCGACGTGGTGATGTCTGCGAGGAGATCGTCGGCGGTGAATGGCGGAGATCGTGTTGGTGATCTGCGTCTATGGGTTGACCTTCTCGGAGACCTGTGAGGAGAATGTTGATATCTTTGAAGCTCTTGTGTAGTCAGGTGTCCTTCGCGAAGGCCTTAAGTGAAAGGCCTTCGAAGCTTCCTCTGCGTCCGGTCCTGGGGAACGGCGATTTGACCTTCGCGAAGGCTTCTGTGAGGTCTGATGGTCTGAGTTCGCATCTAAGGATGAAGCCAAGGAAGGTGATGATCTATCCCGCCTTCGCGAAGGCTATACATCTGGGTCCTTCGTCGAGGTGGTCTGCAACTTCCTTTGCGAAGGTGGCTTCGTCGTGGCTGCTACGCTGATGGGGGTGCCTCTGGGGTGTCGTCTGCGTTGGAACCTTCGCGAAGGCTCAGGCCTTGGGCTGGCTGCTTCTCCAGTCTGTAGTGGCCCTCCATCATGATCATGATTTGCCGCAACAGTTCATCTGGGATGGTCTGCGACCAATTAGTCGGTGCCCCTCTCTGCGATGTTAGCGGGGCCCTCTCAGGGAAGTCGATCTGGCGTCAGTGTAGAGACCTCAGGCTGCATGGCGATCTCTGCTGATGTCACTGTAGCTGTCTCCGGTCAGCTTCTTGTGGCGTCGCCGGGGATGATGATCGGCTGATCATCGTAGAGGCCCAGTTCAGCGGCTGGAACAATCTCGGTTGAAAGTCCTAGTAGACTTCGTTGATTTCCCTCAGAGGTCGCGTTGCCCTGGGGTGCGCAGTCTGGAGCGTTGAGTGTTGGTAGCGGCGGGACCCTCAGGAAAAATATCAGCGTTGGTACATCAGGCTGCATGTTGATCTGCGCTGACATCACTGTTGTCGACATCGGTCATTCTTTTGATGTACATCAGGTATGATGATCGGCTGATCATCATACAGGCCCAAATGCGGCGGGAACAATCTCGGCTGAGAAAGTTCAAGTAGACCCCGTTGATTCCCCTCAGAGGTCGCGTTGAGATGCAGTAGAAACCCTCTAGTCTTCGGCTGCGACGATGGGATGTCTGGGGAAGCAGGGCGCTTTCTTCAGGGCGGCGGACTTCGTCCGCGCCTCTCCACCACTCTAGCGGAACACCAGACGGGAGGGGGTCGACCAACAGCAGTAGACTGGCGAGGGATTCAGGTGTATCAGTCATGGCTAGACTCTGCATCGCGCTGACCTATCTGCTGCGGCGTCTCAAACATAAAGTAATATTTATTAAAGGCAGAATTGGATAAATTAGTACCGCAACTGCAATGTGAATAACATGAAACATGGCGCTTAGTACAGCTAGGGCATATTAAATGCGGATCAGCAGCAGAATAAAAACGTAATGTGCAACAGTACAGAATTTTTATCAACGTAATCCACTGAAACAACACGGCGTCCCGTGAATAAACAGTAGAAACACGACTAAATATCAAATATATAATTGTTGCAGATACTAGCTAAACCTCTATAGATGTCTATCTGGGGTAACTAACTAAATATAATCAAAGGATATAGTGTGTCGGAGACACAGCATGCTCTCACGATCCAGCTCACTGGGCTGAAGAAGGAGAGAGTGAGGCACATGGTAGAGGTGGCCCTCGTTCAGCTTATTGGAACGGAGGTAACTTCGTGGTGTACTAATTAGTGATTTTACATTGAAGGAACTTCAATTAGGGAGATACAAGTGTTCCACTATGTTCGCAAGAGGAAGGAGACAAGCAAAAGAGCATGAGTCAGGATAAGGAAAAATAATACGTATACCGGTAACCTAGTCATTGAAGGTGTGAACAAGTAAGTATATAGGTAATCTAGTCTTTGATGGTGTGAACAAGTACGTATACAGGTAACCTAGTCATTGAAGGTGTGAACAAGTACGTATACAGGTAACCTAGTCATTGATGGTGTGGTGTGAACAACAAGAGTAGATTATAAGCACGTATAAAGGTAATCTAGTCATTGAAGGTGTGAACAAGAATAGGTATACAGATAACCTAGTCATTGAAGGTGTGAACAAGTATGTATACAGGTAACCTAGTCATTGAAGGTGTGAACAAGAATGCAGGTAATCTAGTCTTTGATGGGTAATGCGGTAACCTAGTCTTGAAGGTGTGAACAAATATGTAAACAAGGTAACCTAGTCATTGAAACATTGAAGGTGTGAACAAGTAGGTATACAGGTAACCTAGTCATTGAAGGTGTGAACAAGTAGGTATACAGGTAACCTAGTCATTGAAGGTGTGAACAAACCCTAGTCATTGTATAGGTATAACCTACCTAGTCATTGAAGGTGTGAACAAGTAGGTATATAGGTAACCTAGTCTTTGATGGTGTGAACAAGTACGTATACAGGTAACCTAGTCTTTGATGTGTGAACAAGTACGTATACAGGTAACCTAGTCATTGAAGGTGTGAACAAGTACGTATACAGGTAACCTAGTCATTGAAGGTGTGAACAAGTAGGTATATAGGTAATCTAGTCTTTGATGGTGTTGATGAGTGTATATACAGATAATATAAAGGTTAATGGTTTTAGTAAGAGTAGATACAGGTAATCTTGTTGATTGAGTTCAGCAAGTAACTGTATTGGTGTGAGCAAGTTCTTATAAGTATGTTCAGATTGTCATTTTACAAAACTCACCCTTCATGAATGAACTCTGACATTGCTTGACATTCACTGACCAGCTGTGGCATCTGGGACCTCACCACAACGTAGCTCAGGATTGGGAGCAGGTCATCAGCACCACTTAACACAAAATAATATTTTCTGTACAACATATTATTTCATTTCATCAACAATAAATAAGAATCCAATGAAATTAACTTACAGAACAAAAATTATAAATTTTTTTTTGTGTTTTTATTTTGTGTCATTTTGTTTTGGCACTTTTGGGCATTTTTCACTCTATCCTGTGTAAAAATGTAACACAAGGATTTATCAGAACAGCTGTCCCTATACATCATTTAACAAAATTTCAAGGACACCATGTCCTTGTGATCCAACCTTTAGAAAACCCACATCACACAAAAACTGCAATATACAGTTGCCCTGGAAACTAGGTATGGATGAAAAATGACCTAAAGAGGAACCTGTATTATGATTTTTGCATGATCATTACAAATATTTTGCACTGAATTCCTCCAAATGATTGAATGAAATATCGCAAACATTCCAGGACTGATACACCCTGAAGTTTCTGAACTTACACACTCGGTGTCTTCCTGTTGGTGTCTGCTTCACTGGAGAGGTAGTACTGCTCCACACACGAACACACCTCCCGACACACACGCACTGGAACACAACATGGCCGACAAGTGAATCTTGGTTTAGCAGTCAGCAATAAGGCATGCTGAGGACCTGGGTCTAGATTTTCGAAGCTCTCTTAGCACTAAAAGAGTCGTAGGTGACATACATTAACATTAACTTATGACTACCTTAGCGCTAAGAACGCTTCGAAAATCTAGGCCCTGCTCTATCCCAGAATGAGAATATCAAGGCAGCATTTCAGTTAAGCTATATCAACTCTTGTCTCACAACTTCGAAGGCATGATTTACTGAGGGCCTAGAATGACTGGACCTACCCACACACTCCAGCTTGCTCAGCATGGTGTAGTACTCCTTCACTTTCTTCAGCTCCACCACTGCCTGATCATATGGAAGCCTGTTCTCGCCATCAGATGACACCAACCACAGCTTCTTTGACACACCAAAGTCTTTAGGTTCAGAGCCTTTCTGTGAAGTCATTCTGTAGGCCAGCTGGATTTCTTTAGGTTTGTTCGCTAACCTAATAAAATAGCTATCACAATTAGGATTTTCGCCATGATTTATGAGGTGAGGTGAGGTGAAATTGGGTTTAACGTTGTGCTTGAGAATATTTCGCTCATATCACAACGTGCATGTGTGTGTATGTGTATGTGCGGCTGCTTGTACTAGCCCGGACTGAAGCTGGTTTTATAGTGCTAGCCTACTGAGATACCATGCCGCAGTGAAGCATGAATACCCCACTCAGACACATTATACTGACTCCGAGCCGACCAGTCCTTGTTGTACCCATTAATGCCGAGCACCAGGCAGGGACCAGCAAGTACCATATTTAAACATCTTTTGGGTATGACACGGTCGGGGATCGAACCATGATTTATGAAACTAAACATAACATTTGTGCGTTACATCACAATGGGTGCAAGATATTCAACAAAAGAGATGGTTGGTTGGTTTGTTGTTTAATGCCGCACACAGCAATATTCCAGCTATATGGCAGCGGTCTGTAAATAATCGAGTCAGACAATCCAGTGATCAAGAGCATAAGCATCGATCTATGCAATGCGGACATGTGTCAACCATGTTAGTGAACCTAACCATCTGATCCCGATCAGTCACCTCTTACAAGGATGGGTTCCTACCCAATCCTTCACGTGTCAAGAAACTTCTATCCAAGCAACATTGTTTATGACAATGAGTTTGAATGCAATGAGTTTGATTCTAGAAATGAGGGAGAAGTTTACCCTGCAAAGAGATGATGATTACAGTGTGAGATCATGTTTACCATATGGGGAAATGATGTTTAAAATTCCAGTAAATGCTTTTTGAATGAATTAAAGAGCATGGTCAATATGGTCAAACTGAAAAGGTCCAACATAGGCCAAAATTTTCACTTCTGCAAAAACCAGAATAAACCAGTTAAACTCTGCTTCAAACAACACAACTGCATTCCATTTAGAACAAAAACGTCTGTGTAATAAGTGTGCGAAATTTACGCTGACGCTGTGGTCCCCGGCTAGTAAAAATTCATCAGGACCACAACATGATAAGTTAGCAGTGGTCCTGGTGGCCAGTGAAATTTGTATTAATAGTTAAGTAAATCTACGAATGTCAGGGGCGGTGGGGTAGCCTAGTGGTTAAAGCGTTCCATCGTCACGCCGAAGACCGGGGTTCGAATCCCCACATGGGTACAATGTGTGAAGCCCATTTCTGGTGTTCCCCGCCGTGATGTTGCTGGAATATTGCTAAAAGCGGCGTAAAACCAAACTCAGTCAGTCAGTCAGTACGAATGTCATTTTGGACCAGTGAAGTACAGACAGGTCCACAAATGATTGTCCACTCACTGGTCAGGTGGTGTGGTAGGAAATTTTGAAACGTTTCTTTCCCTGTGCAGTGGTCTTAAGTAGGTCTACAAATTCTGTCCCAGTTTGTCTTTGGTACTAATATATCAGTCTGCAGTGTTTGATTAAACTCGAAACAATTTATCAAAACACCCTACCTGAAGAGAGCAAGCAGGTATTTCCATATGGGTTTGAAGAAGGGCTCCTCTAATGAAGCATAGCACTGATCCCTGCCTGTGGGTGAGTCAAGGTGCTCATATGCAATTGTGAACATGACTAATAGCTTCTCCATGAAGCTGTGCACATCCTGTGAAATACCACTGAGATGTCTGTTGTATGCCTCCTCTGCCAGTTTGGTCATTTCAGGGTTGGATAAGGAGTCCACAGATTGGGATGATTTCATTGAACTGTCGTCTGGTGTTGGCATACTTGAACCAGAGTCCATGGATAACGATTTCGGAATACCTCTTGAGAACCTATAGTCTGTGCTTTCAGAAGACCCATTGTCTTGGATGCACCGTGATGGTATTTGTGGATCGTAGGAAATATTTGTCTCTGGTGGATCACCTTCAATAACGTCATCATCACCTTCTTCGTCAAACAAATCATCCATGTTTTCCTCATTGTATTTCTCATATTCAGAAACTCTTTGGAGTATCCTTTTAGCTTTTTCATTTTCAATAGTCAGCTGTTTTTCTAACTGGTTCCCTTTTGTAATAGCAGTTTTGATATCTTCTTTTGATTTTTCGTAAATATCGTCCATTTCTTTCACAGAATTCTCCTCATTTCATCAGAAATCTCTTCATCCTCATTCACCAAGTCTGCTTCTGACACAATTTTAGCTTCTTCAGTTACAGTATCACAGCTTACATCATCTGAATGTTCATGACTAGATTTCACTTCACTTTGTGGCACTGTATTATTATTTTCAAACGTCTTATCACCCTTAGCCACTTCTTGTTTGTCTTCATCAAAACCCTCCTGACTAGAATCCATTGAAGTAATAACTAAATTCTCACCACTATTCGAGTTATTGAAATCACCACTGTGGTATTCCTGAACACTTCCTGGCTGTTCCGTTACACTCCCAGAAGCACCTGTCTCTGAAGGCTGTTCCTTGCTACTCCCTCCATCAGATATCTCATCAACAGGGTAAAGATACACAGGAAGCGGCACAGTAATGTCCTTCAGTTTCATCATCTTGCTTGACACTAAGGGGTAGAGTCTCTCATAGATCTTATACTGATACGTCTTTAAGAGTTGAGTCAGTGGGTGATCTGAACACCTGAAAACAAGTCAAAATGAGAATGTAACTCTTAACAGTTTTTCCGTTTTATCCCTTATGGTGTGACAGGATTTTTTTAGAAATCTTTTCTGGTGAGACCAAAGGACACAGGTATAGAACTGACAAACCCAGGATCATAATCATTGTGAATTATGTGATTTGAAAACTCCGGACAAGCAGATCCTGGAACTGCCAAGGGAAACAACTCTGCTTATCTTTGTATTTGTTTGTTGTTGGACAAAAACACTCCCAGCATTATCCCAGCTGTACAACATGAACATAACTGACAATGGATCAATACGCAATGATCGGGTTACAATACAAGCACAAGCAAGTCAATAATTCTGGCAACCCAATCCATAATGGTGCCTTTCCACTATCACCTGGTCCATACAAACATGAGTATCAGGTATATCTCCTGTATCACCTGGTTCATACACACCTGAGTATATCCTATATCACCTGGTTCATACACACCGGAGTATATCCTGTATCACCTGGTTCATACACACCTGAGTATATCCTGTATCACCTGGTTCATACACACCTGAGTACCCTCTGTATCACCTGGTTCATACACACCTGAGTAGCTTCTGTATCACCTGGTTCATACGCACCTGAGTATATCCTGTATCACCTGGTTCATACGCACCTGATTGTCACCTGGTATCATCTGGTACACACCCGAGTACCCCCAGTATCACCTGGTTCATACACACCTGAGTATCTCCTGTATCACCTGGTTCATACACACCTGAGATCTCCTGTATCACCTGGTATACACCTGAGTCTCTTGTATCACCTGGTTCATACACACCTGAGTACCTTCTGTATCACCTGGTTCATACTCACCTGAGTATATCCTGTATCACCTGGTTCATACACACCTGATTGTCTCTGGTATCATCTGGTTCATACACACCTGAGTACCCCCAGTATCACCTGGTTCATACACACCTGAGTACCCCCTGTATCACCTGGTTCATACACACCTGAGTATATCCTGTATCACCTGGTTCATACACACCTGAGTATCTCCTGTATCACCTGGTTCATACACACCTGAGTATCTCTAGTATCACCTGGTTCATACACACCTGAGTATCTCTAGTATCACCTGGTTCATACACACCTGAGTATCTCTAGTATCATGGTTCACACACTGGTTCATACACCTGAGTATCTCTAGTATCACCTGGTTCATACACACCTGAGTATCTCTTTATCACCTGGTTCATACACACCTGAGTATCTCCTGTATCACCTGGTTCATACACACCTGAGTATCTCCTGTATCACCTGGTTCATACACACCTGAGTATCTCCTGTATCACCTGGTTCATACACACCTGAGTATCTCCTGTATCACCTGGTTCATACACACCTGAGTATCTCTAGTATCACCTGGTTCACACCTGAGTATCTCCTGTATCACCTGGTTCATACACACCTGAGTATCTCCTAGTATCACCTGGTTCATACACACCTGACCTATCACCTGGTTCATACCATCACCTGTTCATACACACCTGAGTATCACCTGTTCATCACCTGGTTCACCTACACACACCTGAGTATCTCCTATATCACCTGGTTCATACACACCTGAGTATCTCCTAGTATCTCCTATATCACCTGGTTCATACACACCTGAGTATCTCCTTATCACCTGGTTCATACACACCTGAGTATCTCCTATATCACCTGGTTCATACACACCTGAGTATCTCCTGTATCACCTGGTTCATACACACCTGAGTATCTCTAGTATCACCTGGTTCATACACACCTGAGTATCTCTTGTATCACCTGGTTCATACACACCTGAGTATCTCTAGTATCACCTGGTTCATACACACCTGCATGAGTACCCCCTGTATCACCTGGTTCATACACACCTGCATGAGTACCCCCCGTATCACCTGGTTCATACACACCTGAGAGTCTCCACACACCTGGTTCATACACACCTGAGTACCTCCTGTATCACCTGGTTCATACACACCTGAGTACCCCCTGTATCACCTGGTTCATACACACCTGAGTATCTCCTGTATCAACTGGTTGATAACGATCTCGTCCTCAGGGTTACTCTGGAGTTTCTCTCTCCAATCAACCAGCCATTTCTGTCAACAGAATATTGTGTGCACTGAAATACTTATGAAGGCTTCCATTCCTTAATACTGAGATGAAAACATTTTCCTGCATACAAACATATACTACAAACAGAAGATATGGGAACACCCTAAAGTTTGATAGTCATATATAAACTGAGACATGGTGAGGTCATTTATACTCTAAGGTAAATGCAACTTTTTGTGTGCTTAATGGGCATTTTAAACGACATGTTGGAACATGCAGTGAATCAACTGATTCAGTATTTGTTGAGTTTGAGTGAAATGAAACATTGTTAAAAACAGCGAAAAACAAGTGTGCTGAAACACAGCAGCACCATGTTTGATTCAAACGCCCAAACACAACAGCCTAGAGCATGTGGAAGACAGACTTCCCATGCAGCTTGTGGCAACTGGGCACAGGCAGTTGTGAATCGGTTCCGAAGGGCTTGAACCATAACATGTCCATCTGCCCTTGATGCTTTTCTGGGTATTCCAGAGCCAAATGACACATCAGCAATCTTGTAACAACAAAGTAAGATACTATATGGATAACAACTTCTTTATTACATATGATGCAACGTTTCGGTATAGATTCTTATACCGCTGTGAAGCAAGACATTCTTGCTTGACAACAGTATAAGAGTCTATACCGAAATGTTGCATGATATATAATATAGAAGTTGTTATCCATATAGTATCTTCCTTTCTTATTACTCACCAACTTCTACAATGCCAATCAAACAGAACAATCTTGTAGCTGTTTATGGTGATCTGAATGATTAGGAGTGAGCTATTCAGGAGATAAACCTATCATATTTTGAAATATGAAATAGTCCCTTTGTAGAGTAGATGCATGCCTCTTATTTATATACTTCAAATCATTATTTTATAGAGAGTGAGTGATCCTTGCTTAATACAGCTATCAACTGTGACCTCAGTTATTGGTCTGGGAATGGACTGATCAGTTACGGAATACTATCTGAATTAGGTCCAGGGTCCCGATCCACAAAGGGTTCGTAGCGCCACGCCATTCATAAGCCTGTGGTAAACTATGGAATTACGACAGGTTGTAACGTTACGAATGCTTTATACATGATTCAATATTCGCAAAGTTGAGGTGAGGTGAAATTGGATTTAACGCTGTGCTTGAGAATATTTCGCTCATATGACGACGTGCATGCACGTGTGTGTGTATGTGCGGCTGCTTGTACTAGCCCAGACTTAAGCTGGTTTTATAGTGCTAGCCCACTGAGATACCATGCCGCAGTGAAGCATGGATACCCCACTCAGACACATTATACTGACTGCGAGCCGACCAGTCCTTTGTTACCCATTAATGCCGAGCGACAGGCAGGGACCAACAAGTACCATATTTTAACGTCTTTTGGTATGACGCGGTCGGGGATCGAACCCACGACCTTCCGCTCTCTGGGTGGACGTTCTAACCACTACACCACAGAGGCGGTCCAATATTCACAAAGAGGTGTGTCTCTAAGCAACCGTGTGTACTTACAGCATCCTGCTCATACTCCAGAATCTTCTTGTATATCTGCCTCTGCTCCTGCTCCTCTTGTGACATCCCTGTGGGAGCTGTAAAACGCCTGCACACAGACACATGCATACGTCACTTCCCTCGCATAAACACTGGCCTGTATCAATCACAATTCTCTTCAAGAAAACACACTGGACAATTCTCTTCAATGAGACACTTGTAAATTCTCTTCAATAAAACCCTAGTAATTTCTCTTCAATAAAAAACAAGAATACATACTAGTCAATTCTCTCAAAAATGACACTAGCTAGTACTCTTCAATAAAACACTAGAAAATTCTCTTCAATAAAAAACACTAGTCAATTCTATCAAGAATACATACAAGTCAATTCTCTCAAAAATGACACTAGCTAGTACTCTTCAATAAAACACTAGTCAATTCTCTTCAATAAAAAACACTAGTCAATTCTATCAAGAATACATACAAGTCAATTCTCTAATAAATGACATTAACTAGTTCTCTTCACTAAAACACTAGTCGATTCTCTAATAAAACACACGAGTCAATTTAAGGACACACTGATTTCACCAAATTAATTTTTACCAAAATATACAATACTTGTATGAAAAATACATTGTCTATCACAAACATTTATGCTCATAGTCATAAATAAAACATTTAACTAGCAGCTGTAGCTAAGATGCTTCGGTGAAAGATCAAAAGCGCTGACAGTACTTTATCAGACGATAATGTGCACTTTTTGCATTACGTCACAATGTAACTGACGTCACGATGCATGTCAGTTGTCACCTTGTACAGCCTCCTACAGTAAACTACTGCGATGAAAATCACCTGAATTTGAGTAATTTCCTGTGGACTATCTACAATGAACACTTATGATTCATTACTTCAGTCTCCATTACTTTACTTTTCTGTACAAGAGAGACAACAGTGCAGTATCGAACTTCCACCACTACCCCTGACCTTGGCTGACAACTGGTCTGGTTGATTACGGGAATGTTAACAAGAGGTTAAAGAGAACATAAACAGCACCCAGGTTATGCATCAACGCACAAAGTGGCTGACACTCATGGTCACCCGGTCATGGTCACGCTTTGTAAAACCACTAAAAGTGCCTGTACTTGCAACTGACTGAATCTAATAACTTGAAAATGTTCTAAGGGCAGCTTGTTGGAATAAATGACTTCTGAACATATCAATAATATTTGTGACATTTACAACACACGTTATATTGGGATTACACTTTTACAGTAAATAAGAGATTCAGAACATCAGTACTTTTGCTATTTTGAGTCCTATCAGAGACTGTTTTGTGTTTGTTAAAGAGATTCTGGCATCAAGAAAATTCTTATGGCAAAATGTGTAATGTCACATTTCAAGGAAGAATTTTCAGCTCACCTTAATTAACTGATTTTAAGGTATGTCAATCAAAAGAATACAGTCCCAACAATAATGAGACATTTTATATGCTGTACCTCACTAAAGTTAGGGGAGTGGAGTATTAAGAAGTTGTCATAATCTGTGCTAACCAATGCAGGTTTGAAAATTTGAAGGTAAAAACACTTTCTGACACAAAATACTAAGTTACTTAACAGGTTTATAACCACTGACTGATTTGCTGTCAGCATTCTAAAATGAATGTCCATACATACAAGTGACCATGACTTTATATCTTTGCCAATCATATGAAAGAACATTTCAAGTTGTTCCATTTAAATGGCAACGCAAATATGAAGTGAAATCACCACTTTCACAACAATGTTTCCAAGTCATTCCACAAGTGCATGAGACCTCTATAGTAACCATGACAAATAACACAATCATCTAATACATACAACTGCTATTCATCTGTTTACAAGTTACATATATAGATTACATCATAACTTTACTCTGCTGAACACAAAATACCAGCATGTCCATTGGTTTAAATCCGTGGGAGCCGTGCCAATTAACACTTATCAGTGGGGTACACAAAGTGCGCAGTCTAGACTACCAGTTGTCCGACTTCCATTTTTGTGGAAGCCGCGGTGGCTGAGCGGTCTAGGCGTCTGACTTTGTGTGCTGGCGATTAGGTGCCTGACTCTGAGGGTGTGGGTTCGAATCCCGGATGGGACTCAACCCAACAAAAGTACTAGAATTTGTACTTTACTAAGAAAGTGTAATCCCAAATATAACGTATGTTACAGGTTTAAATCTGGTTCCACCGAGTGACTACCAATGACCTTGTCCTTACACAAAGGTCACCAAAAGTTAATGAAGTCAGATCCAACGTTTTTACTTCACAAACTCACATAATTAAATTTTGTGGATACAAGCTTCTATACACGCAGCAGGTCAGAGTTACCTTGACCTTCAGTGTCACCCATTCACATTGTCATATTAAGCAGATCCCCAGGGGTCAAAAGGTTACAGGAATTTGCTTAACAATGTTAAGCATTTCTTATATACAGGTTTTGAAAGTCTAGGACAACAACTTAACACAATAGTGACTGGGAAAGCACACTTTCCTTTCTAACAATGATGTAGGCAGGTGTGCAGCAGGGTTGATTATACATGAAACAAGGCAACAGTAAGAGGACGTAGACAGGGACTCACCTTTGAGCCTGCTCCTCAAGTCTGCTCTGTCTCTCGTTCATCTTTTTGGCAAGCTAGTATACTGTCAGGAAAAACAGCTCAACTTGACATTTAGCATTTCTTATATACTAGGGTTAGAATTGAAATTATTATCAATCTCGATATTTTTAATCAAGGCATAATCTTGCATGATTTAAAAGTGTATTAAACCTTAACAAGTCGGAGAGAGTGATATATTTACAAAATGACCCCTTGAAAATTCATTAGCCAGTTGGGCCAGTGACTGTGGAGATTTTCTGGCCTGACTGGATTTTTACTAGCCACGGGACTAGCGGGCCAATGGCTATTTTGCACACTGGTTACTGAAGATCAATTCTAACTCATGATCTTCATGGGCATGGATCAGCTGGGAGAGCTGAAGGTTGGTCAGTTCATACCAAACAACATCCACTTGTTGTCACCCTGCCTGGTAGTGAGTGAGTGAGTGAGTGAGTGAGTGAGTGAGTGAGTGAGTGAGTGAGTGAGTGAGTGAGTGAGTGAGTGAGTTTAGTTTTACTCCGCTTTTTCAGGAATATTCCAGCAATATCACAGCAGGGACCATCAGAAATGCTCTTCACACACTGTACCCATGTGGGGAATCGAACCCAGCTCTTCGGTGTGATGAATAAACGCTTTAACCACTAGGCAACCCCACCGCCTCCCTGGTACTCAGCCTTTAGGGAGCAAATAAGGACTGAACCACAATTTAACACAGAGCCTCAGCAATAATACTGAAAATGATAACACAAAACACAATTTAAGTATTTAGAATTTGCAGTGGTGCAACCTGAGTGAGTGAGTGAGTGAGTTTAGTTTTACGCCGCTTTTAGCAATATTCCAGCAATATCACGGCAGGGGACACCAGAAATGGGCTTAACACATTGTGCCCATGTGGGGAATCGAACCCTGGTCTTCGGCGTGACGAGACAACGCTTTAACCACTAGGCTACCCCACCGCCCCTGGTGCAACCTGAAACTGCAAATCCATATTTATACCAAATTTAATTATGTTAATATCTTGCTGCTCAAAGAACACAGACTTTAGATGGAAAACAGAATGCAGAGGAACTGGCTTGGAGCAGTGACTCGGATGACTGCAGAGACAGTGATTAAATGACTTACTGTTCATGTTATGAAATTTTATGAAGTAATATAAAATAATTTCATCAGACCCAGAATAATTCTGTTACAATGACATTCCAAATCATCAATATCAAAACTCAAGCATTATATACCATTTAAAAAAGTAGGGGATATTGGATTTACAAGATTAATAAACTGCAAACGATGAAGCCAAGGAGGAAACAGATGATAAAGAGAAATTAACGGAAAATGTGACAATTTATTCCATTCCTTTGGAAATGTTTCATCTTTATGGATATATATTACTTTTTCTCATAGTCATATCCATTGGCATTGGCTAGTGGTATGCTTGCTCAATGGCATATCCCCTACTTTTTTTAATGGTATATGTAATTTTTATTGAGAAGCAGAAAACCCCATATTTTGTCTGGTGCAAAAAGGTCATTACGTAAGGTTCAGTTGTCCCTGTCACCAGCTCATCAACCCCAGAGGACTCAAGTCTGAGTAAAGTAAATTTCAAAATACTCACATATTTTCCCCAATATTTAGGAACTTTTTCATAATTTTTTGAAAGATCATCGTGGGCAGGAGACATAACGACTACATGCAATCATAGTGACAGTGATACACCACACATCAGACAGCAGTTTTTACAGCCATTGTCTAAAAAAGGCAACACCCACGTGATAAACAGTCGTATCTGTCAGGTGTGCTGTTGTTGAAGCAGTTATTACTCCACACCAGAACATAAACATTCTTTAGGATCATTTTGGATGGGGTTAATCAGGAGCAGTTTCCTTGACACCTCACACCCATCCACATCTCATAGCAACTATATCATCAACAGCACACCTCGCACCCATCCACATCCCACAGCAACTATATCATCAACAGCACACCTGACAGCTATGACAATATATCGCCTTTTTAAGAAAAAGGAATAATTGGTGTAAATGGTGCCAACTAACAGGTTAATGTCTCTACTATGCATTTAGAAGTGTGAATACATGAATATATGAAACTTCTTATGGATAACAATTTCTTTGTAACTTATGATAGGCATATAGTTAGAAAGCATAAAAATAGTAAAAAGGTTTCATGCTTAATTGTTTTACCTGTTTTGATTGTCACTAGATTGTTTTAAAGTGCAAGTTATAAACAAATAAGTCTGGCAATTTTTTAAGTGTCAAACCTAATAATGAATAATTTATGTAAACTGAATATTTCAGCAAATCCAGAACCTGTTTGTATTGCTCAATATCTGTTGCATAACATGCTGTGAAACTGATTAGCATTACATCTCGGCTTCAAACTGTTTCACCATGGTGATCAGTTCAGATAACTAGTTGACATGTTAATTGCCTGTCTGTTAATTAAAGGATTGTATTAATCCTTTGAGTCAACATCCTGAACTGGGTCAACACACACCCTCAAACCGTACAACATTCAAAAAGCACAATGGAAACTGAATAATGAGTACTCTACGAGTCCGTCAGTTCTGTAGGTCACTTAAATTGCTGAAGTAGAAAGTGACCTCATAAACACTTAAATCATCAACAGTACAAAGGCGACCTACATTTGCCTCATGAAGCTGAAGATATGAAAACTGCAGAACTATTAAATAAGAATTATTTGCTTGGCATTCTAGAAGTTGAGGAGATGAAGAATGAGGACTATTTCACGGGCATCGTTTCAACATAGATTCTGATGTCACCACTTGCTTGACAACGACATTAGAATCTATGTCGAAACGTCACCTATACAGAATAAAGAAGTTGTATATCCATAAAAATAGTCCTTATTCTTTATGAAATAAGAACTTGTGTTGAGATTTGATTTAAAACTTGAGCTAAAACTTACACAGAAATACATGTCATATGCAATATGATTTTGTAAATAGATTTCCACAATTTCAATTAATGTCAAACATTTTGTTAAAAGATTATGATAGAGAAAGAATATATATGTGTAAAAACGACTTTGTCATTCAAATTTGAAAAAACCATCACTATGTCCGCAAGGATAGGTTTGAGATTAGAGGTGCACTCAACCATAGTAAGTGTTGTTTCAATGGGTCTGCATGCTTGGAGTATTACACAATTATGTTTTTTATGTCACTTTTTTTCAGTATTCCAGACAAATCCAGGGATTTACAGGACGCAAATTTCTGTGTCCCATACACATAAAAATTGACAATGGCCACAACAAAATTTGTTAGAGCGTCCACAGGGACTCAGAAAAAGTCCAAATACTTTTTGTAAAATTCTAATCAAGTGACAATAAGTTATCATTGAGTTTGCTACTAGCTGGGTTATGGTATTATTTGCAATTTAATTACGGTAATGACCATGTTCCTCAGTACATCATTGTATGTTGTGGTAATTGTATCTGATCGAAGAGTTTGGCCACGTTTCACCTAGGTTTGACCTTAGATGCCCTGAAAACCCCTTTTATGTCTTGAGTGTATTATTCAAGAGCTGGGGTCTCTGTTATGTAATATCATATGTATATTTTACGTGACTGTTACATGAAACTCTAAATAAACATATACTACTGTAATTACAACTACTCACTAAACTCAATGTCAGACGTGGAAAAGACTGCTGTAATTTGACACTGAACTGAGCATTTTGTTAATCATTAATGATTATTCAACACTAATTGAAAATTAGGAAAGTGTTAGTAAAAACAGTGTTCTTCTTGTCCTTTCAAAACAGAAGAGCGGAAGGTCGCGGGTTCGATCCCCGACCGCGTCATACCAAAAGACGTTAAAATATGGTACTTGTTGGTCCCTGCCTGGCGCTCAGCATTAATGGGTACAAGGACTGGTCGGCTCGCAATCAGTATAATGTGTCTGAGTGGGGTATTCACTGCTTCACTGCGGCATGGTATCTCAATGGGCTAGCACTATAAAACCAGCTTAAGTCTGGGCTAGTACAAGCAGCCGCACATACACATACACATGCATGCACGTCGTCATATGAGCGAAATATTCTCAAGCACGACGTTAAACCCAATTTCACCTCACCTCACCTTTCAAAACATAACCATGTAAACAATGAGTTGACTTCTCTCAATGCAATGTTCCAGAGAAAAGGCTAGTACCTACATCAAACAGGTGAATGAAGAATTTCTAATCCATAAGTCAAATCTGTCTTCACTGCTACACCTGCTCTTAAACTGCCATTTAAAGATCTCCAAAAAATGGTACCCTAAAAAGTCAACCTGTGAAACAATATCATGATACATAGAACCTAACTTGAGAACCATCACTGACATTTCTAGCATGGATGCATCAGCTGTGTACTCATCATAATGTGATCCTATATTTAAAAAGTTCTGGCTGTGTTCTTTGAGGATAATGAACTATTTAGGAACCCTTTTGACACTCATTTTCTATTTTCCCCTCTAACATCTAGTGGCATCTTTAAGAAAACAAGATGCCAAATTGGCCAAGGCTGATGTGCAATTAGGAAAATCCACTGGGCCATTATAGTGTCAGGGACTATCATTATTGATGCAGCCATATCATGGTGAAAAGTCATCAAATTAAGGCCTTGTGGAAGTTATAATGTGATTTCAAATTGATCTCATTGGGGGCTCCACATGCAAAAGTTACAGTCCACAACTATACAAGTGTACACACAAGCTTTTCAAGTGTTACTTATCAATTGCACTACAGACATATTTTACCAGACAAAATCATTATTCTGTGGGGAAAACAAGTAGACTGCCAATTCAATGTTTTTCAGTCCTGTGGAGGTAGTGACAGGTGCTTGTTTACACAGGAAGTAGAGAGACATGCTGTGTGACACAAGAAAGGATACAGCCTCCTCATGGATCCTGGCTATGGCAAGGTTCTCCGCCATCTTCCTCTGGACAGTCAGGCTCTGGAAGGAAATCACATTCCAGATCATTTGTTGGTCTATTCATTAAGGACAATATTTTAGCATATATGTTGAATGCAAAATCAACTTGTGAAGATCCATATTAGACTGGGTGTTCAGCAACCCATACTTGTGGTAAGAAGTGAGTAATGGAATTGGGTGGTCAGACTCGCCATCTTGGTTGATGCATGACTCCATATCCAAGATGCATGGACTGATGCTTATGACTGACTGACTGAGTTGCTGTTTTACTCCGCTTTTAGCAATAATACAGCTACATCACGGCAGGGGACACCAGAAATGGGCTTCACACAATGTACCCATGTGGGGATTTGAACCCGGGTCTTTGGCGTGACGAGCCAACGCTTTAACCACTAGGCTACCCCTACGCCCTGATGCTTATGAAGTCAATCGCTGGATTGTGTACTCCAAACTTAATTATTTACATAATGCTGTCATAGAGCTGGTAAATTGCTGAGTGCGGTATTAAACAACAAGCAAAGAAAAACAAAATAATATCTTGGTTCTGGAAATTATCTTTGTTCGTTCATTCCAGCTATTTCTTCCACATGTTCCTTGGTCTTGGTTGGTATGTTCCAGAAGATATCTGGGTCCTTACATTTCTCATAACAGATCGGTCAATAAATCCAGATATCTTGGGTCCATGATTCATTATTATATCTTGGTCACAGAAAATGATGTAAATCCCATATGTTACCACTTTCGTGAAACTAATGAACACAGGTTTGGAACATAATAATAATAATAAATAATAATAATAGTGCATTTATATAGCGCTAATTCCAAACATAAGGATGCTCAAAGCGCACAAACATGGTTTGATATTAGGGAAAGTCAGAGAAAGCTTGGCGAAAGAGGACAGTTTTTAGTAAGGATTTAAAGGATGACAACGTTTGAGAGTCTTTGAGTTCTTGGGGCAGATTATTCCACTCAGTTGCTGCGGCATACGCAAATGATCTGTGACCGTAGCGGACAGTGTTTGTATTTGGGACAACAAGGAGAGACTTGGTCTGGGATCTGAGAGTCCGAGCAGGTTGGTATGTCTGAAGAAGGTTGCAGAGATAGACTGGAGCTGATCCGGAGATACATTGGAAGGTCAGGGACAGGAGCTTGAACTTGATACAGGAAATGAACAGGAAGCCAATGAAGAGATTTGAGTAATGGAGTGGTGTGTGCCTGTCTGGGGGTAAGGGATGCAATTCTTGCGGCTGTGTTTTGAACATGCTGAAGTCTGTTGATCAGAGATTTGGGAGCGTTAATCAAGAGGCAGTTACAGTAATCAAGACGTGAGATGACGAGAGAGATAATGAGGGTTATAGTAGCACTGGTGGTACGGTGTTTTCTGATACAACTGATGTTCCTTAGGATGAAAAAGCAAGTTCTGCAGATATTGCTGACATGGACCTCCATAGTTAGCTGGGAGTCAAACGTGACTCCAAGGTTCCTGGCTGAGCTGGCAAGAGGAATCGGCGTTGCTCCAACTGTGATGCTGTCAAGCTGTGTTTTTCGTGTTCGACTCACAGGTCCGGTTAGGAGTGCCTCTGTTTTCTCGTCATTCAACTTCAGTTTATTTGCGGTCATCCAATGTTTAATGTCTGAGTAGCACTGACTGATCTTAGTGTGAGCTACTGATGCTGAGGAAGGATCCGGTCTGAAGATGTTGATGATCTGGGAATCGTCAGCATAGAAGTGCTTCGGAAGATCATAGTTTCCAATGATTTCACCCAATTGTCAAATGTAGAGGGTAAATAACACCGGTCCGAAAGCACTGAACCTTGAGGAGCGCCCATCTAAGCTTAAAGCTGATGAAGATACCCGTTGAGATGGATTGATTGATGCCTATTTTCCAGATATGATTTGAACCAAGCAAGTGCAGTTCCATCGATACCGATCTCAACTTGAAGAGCGGGACAGGAGACTGCTGTGGTCGATGGTGTCAAAGGCTGCGCTAAGATCTAGCAAAACCAGGAGGGCTGCATTGCCTTTGTCAATTCCAGATTGCAGTTCATTCATGACATAGAGCAAGGCCGTCTCAGTGCTGTGATTTGGTCGGTACGCAGATTGGTAGGGCTCATGAAGATCATACAAAGACAGGTGTTCTGATAGACGCGTTGGCACACAGCTCTTTCAATGAGTTTTGAAATGTATGGAAGGTTGGAAACCGGACGATAGTTCTTCAATACATCACAGTCTAGGCCAGGTTTTTTCAAGAGAGGTTTGACAAGTGCAGTTTTCAAAGAGTTTGGCATGATTCCATTGGCTAAACTGAGGTTGACCAATGATGTCACAACTGGAAGGAAGATGTCAATGTTGTCGATAATCAGCGTCGTAGGAAGGGGATCTAAGGGACAAGTAGTTGGTTTAGATCTTCTAATCAACTTCAGAGTTTCGGCTTCTGAGAACAGTTGAAAAACAGATAAACGATTATTCTGAAACATGACAGGATCGTTGTCCTCGGTGACGTCATCAAACTGGTGACGAATCGCCTCGATCTTGTCGCAGAAATAGGTTGAAAAACGTTCTGCTATTTCCAAGGTTACGTCACCAGAAGGCAAGGATGGATCAGTCTTTCTACCCATCAGGGAGAACATAAGTTTATACAGTGCCTTGGGATCAGATGTACTTTCCTCGATTTTAGCATTCATATATGTGCGTTTTGCTTGTCTAACTGTCTTATTGGAAGCATTCCTGGCAGAGACATATATCTGGCGAAAGACTTCAAGTTTAGTTTTTCTCCACTTGCGCTCAGCTTTCCTACTTGCAGATTTTGCAGTCTTCACATCATCCGTATATAGCCAAGGTGTATCTGGTCTGTATGGAACACTCTTTGTCACTTCAGGCGCATGTTTGTCTAACAGTTCACTGAGCACCTTGTTATACATGTCAACAAGGTCTTCAACATTAGATGCTGGTTGTAACAGAAGGGGAGAGTGTGAAAGGTCATTTCTAAATGCTTGCATGTTGATTTTCTTCAAATTTCTGCATTTTATGACTTTGCTAGGAGGTTTAGGTCGGCTGGTATCCAAACACATCGTTATCAAGTGATGGTCAGAAAGTTGCATATCAGTCACTGTAGTAGACTGAATAAGAGGCTCCGTCTCTGAGCTGAGGACCCAGTCGAGAATATGTTGACACTTATGGGTTGGCTCACTGACATGCTGGACCAGTCCATAGGATCGCAGAAGAGTCATCATTTTTGACGTGTCTGGATCACTCTGATCGTCATAATGAAAGTTCAGGTCTCCCATAACCAGTAATCTCCCTTTTGCAACTGATATATGGTCAAGCAGTGATGAGAATTCATCAAGAAACATAGCAGGTGTTAACTTATTTTTTCTTGAGGGAGGGGGACGACAAATAACACAAGCATGTGTTGCTGTCTGATCATGCGTAACAGTGAATTCCATACACTCAAAAGACTTAGAGTCCATATTTTGTGGTTGATTGAATTTCAATTTAAGATTGTCTCTGTACACAACAGCGATTCCTCCACCACGTGATGGGCGTGGCTTATGTTCAAACCTATATCCATTCGGTGTCATACTTGCTATTTTTGCTTCATCACCAGACTGACATAACCATGCTAGAAGCAGGAATCAATCCACAATCATAGGTTCCTGGCATGTTCCTTGGCCAACAACACCTACCCACACCACACACAGTGTATAAAATAGTTTTGAAATATGGCCTGTCCAAGGACTGGCTGTGCAAAAAAGTGACCAATCCTGAACAAACACAGCCAGTACAAAAAAACTAAAACAATGAAAAAACAAGCAGTTGTCACTAAGGTGACATAATACCCGGCCGCAAATTATCAGATCAAACTTAAAGAGTAATGATAGTGAAGGTCGTAATTTAAGATGAAGTTCAATGTCAACAAAAAACAGGACCAGTCAACCTCTCTTGATATCTTGTTCTGTAGCTGTTCAAACACACAAATATTCACTTTGACCTTGACATGCATGTCATGGTGTATGAAATATGCAAAAACATAGTAATAGAGAAATTGTTTATCAAAAAAAATCAAGAGAAGTCTTGAAAGTCTATGAAGAAAATTCAGTGAACCGTTCTTGAGATATCTTGCTGACAATCTTAACATACTGAAATCTTCAAAGTGTCGCTGTGATCTTGAAAATTACGTGCAACTTCCCTTTATAAAGCCTGGTGTCAAATAGTTCTTGAGATATCTCCCTGACAAGCTTAATATGCAGGCTAGCATGTTGAAATCTTCAAAGTGTCGTCGTGACCTTGAAAATTACGTGAAGGTCACCAAAATCCATTGGGCCCTGTGCATTCCACAGATGAAGTTTGGTGTCAAATGTGAAGAAAATCCAGTGATTGGTTCTTGAGGTATCTTGCTGACAAGGGTAAAGAGTCAAAGTCCCCTTGTGACCTTGAAATGAAGGTCAAGGTCACCAAACCTGACTGAGACCTTTCTTATACTGTGATGAACCTAGGTACCAAGTATGAAAAGAATCTAGTCAATGGTTCTTAAGATATTCCAATTCATACGTACGTACGGATGTATGGGACAGACGGACAGAGCCTAATACTATATCCCCCGCTTTGCGATAAACGCACGGCGGGGGATAATAATAGATAAGACGAAGTTCAAAACAAGTTAAGTTTATTTTTTCAAATATGTCCCCCGACCAAATGACAGCTTTATTTATTTAATAGTCCTTTGGTCGGTGGGATGGGCTATGTTTTATACACTGTCAGCCATATGACAGCAATCTATGAATAACTGAGTGTGATCCAGACAATCCAGTGATTGATACTATGAGCAGCAGCATTGGGATACACACAGTCATCTGTGTCACCGTGACGACCGCTCAAAGAATACGTAATCTTATGTGATAAGTATTTTGCGATATAATTTGATATGTGTTGGCGTATTGCAATATATAGTGAAAGTATAGCACATGGGTTAAGGTAATGAAATTACTGCTACCTTTCTATTGAAACAATGCCACTGGCCACTGTCAGGACTCAGATGTGATTGTACAAGAGATCAATTGAAAATTGTTTCCAAATTGAAGACTTCGCTCTAAAGTTTTTGAACTCGAGAAAAAGCATCTGCAGCGGCATCCACCATATTGGTTGGTTTATCCCTACAATGAGTGCCGGTACCAATATATTTTTATTTATTTACATGCTTTAAAAGTCACGCATATGCAATGATATGACCAATAAACATTCTCAAAAAAACATCAATTTTGTGTGAGAGAGACCCATTTGGTTTGGTTTGAAGTGGGGTCATCAATTTTGAATGTTTCGGGGAAAGCAATTTTGTACATAAACATATTTTAAAATTATGCTTAAAAACTATTGGGAGGGGGGTCACTTACTTTGTACATAAACTTGTGTGTGTGTGTGTGTGTGTGTGTATGTGTTTGTCATTCAAATTGTACATGCTTCTCCATAAAAATCATCACTTCCCCCCCTGGCCATAAATTATGAACGGTCCCTTATTAGTATTTTTGTATTTCACGAGAAATACCGATCAAGGTCAGGGAATTGCCGATCTTTTCGGGTGAACCGGTTCGTGAAAAGTGTACTGCAATAAATCGAATTGTGAAGTTTGAATTGCAATATACCAGTTAACCGGTATCATCACCCATCTCTAGTACTAAACATGTGAAGTTTTAGTTTCATTGGTCTAATGGTGTCCAAGGAGAAAGATGTTCATGAAAGGCAATGAAGGATGCATCCCGCGTGCCACATACTACATAAACAAGAATGACATACACTCACTCGACTTTCATTCAGGTGAGCTAAGAATGAGTGACCTACCAGCATTGAGGCCATACTCGCTGCCTGACCCTTCTGTATCCGGGACAGCCTGGCCTTGTAGGCAGACATCAGCTGTTGGTTCTGTTTGTATGCCATCGCCATCGGGCTGGGGCCGTGTTTTCTAAAGAATATAGGGCATCCTGTCACACTTTGACATGTCAGTGTCTATCAACCACATAATCAAGCTGGCTTCAGACCAACACCACAGTGACCTGGTCTAAGCAGGTCATCGTAATAATCAAAATCATCATTTTCACTTCTACTTTCACAAGGAATCATTTGAAAATTGGTAACTTATACTTATGCGTGTTTTTGATATTTGAGGCCTCAATCAGCAATATTTCAGCAATATGAGGCCACATAATAATCAATCTGGATCAGTAATATATATTCAAATAATTCTCAATGTAGGGGCATGTTGCCACAACATCAACAAGGTCATGTGACCATCCATTCAATGGAATCACCTCTTAGGATATGTTGTTTGGAACAAATACTTGTCTAGATTTGCAAGGGTGAAATCTTTACTGAAGATTGCATAATTCTGTGAATTTATTTCTAATTGCAGATATCAGCATTATTATGTGAAGACATTCACACATTAACAGGTAATAAGGTTTCATATTGACACATTAACAGGTAGTAAGGTTTCATATTTGACACTTTAACAGGTAATAAGGTTTCATATTGACACATTAACAGGTAATAAGGTTTCATATTGACACATTAACAGGTAATAAGGTTTCATATTGACACATTAACAGGTAATAAGGTTTCATATTGGTGCTGACTTGTGCAGTCATGTGCATTGTGGAATGTGCAGTGTGGAGGGTCTCTATGTAACCATAGTGAAATTATACATATTTATGAAACAACATGTATATGGAAGTTCAATAACTTTTCTCATAAAAAGAAATTTGAATTTTGGGTGATAACTATTGTACTTTTCAAGTGAGTGAATGAAAGTTGTTTTATGACAGTTAGCACAATAAGAGTAAGTGTTGTCTGAGTAACAACAGTTAAATTATCCATATTTATGAATGAATATGGAAGTTCTTTAAACTTTTGTCATAAAAAATATTTTTTGCTGTCAGTTCTTAGATATAGTGATGCATGGGTTACTGAAGACTAATTATGAGTGAATGCACGTATTTCCCAGCATGTCAGCAAAACATGTTCAACAAGAAGACAAAGTCATCAATATCCCCCGCAATGGCAAAATACTCTTCATGATTATGTCTACGAGTTATGATTATGTCAAATATTTAGGTGTGTACATAGAAAGGTGGAAGGAGAGTATTGAAAGGGTTTAAAAGTTCTGCTCCAGAAAGGTTCACTATCACCAATTTCAGTGTAAGTCAAACTTGTTGCCATGGAAATGCCAAAAATATTTTATTCAGAATTCCAAAACTACCAAAAGGCACCAGTACACCACCAGATCAATCTATGTGCCATGTTTGGTGACGACATATTGAACGGTTTTAGAGTTCTGCTCCGGAAAAGAGCACTACCACCAATTTCAGGCTAAGTCGAACTTGTTGCCATGGAAATGCCAAAAATATTTTAATTCAGAATTCCAAAATTACCAAAAGGCACCACTACACCACCAGACTATCTATGTGCCAACCAGTTTTAGAGTTCTGCTCTATGTGCCAAAAAATATTTTATTCAGAATTCCAAAACTACCAAAGTTTGGTGAGTCGAACTTGTTGCCATGGAAATGCCAAAAATATTTTAATTCAGAATTCCAAAATTAGACATATTGAACGGTTTTAGAGTTCTGCTCGAAAAAGAGCACTACCACCAAGAGCACATGGAAACGCCAAAAAATATTTTATTCATTTCTACCAAAGGCACCACACAACTCTAAGATCAATCTATGTGCCATGTTTGGTGAACGGTTTTACAGTTTGTCGAGGAAAAGAGCTACCACCAATTTCATGGAACTTGTTGCCATGGAAACGCCAAAATATTTTAATTCAGAATTCCAAAACTACCAAAGGCACCACTACACCACCAGATCTATCTATGTGCCAAGTTTGGTGAAGACATATTGAACGGTTTTAGAGTTCTGCTCGAAAAGAGCACTACCACCAATTTCAGTCTAAGTCGAACTTGTGCCATGGAAACCCCAAAAATATTTTATTCAGAATTCCAAAACTACCAAAAGGCACCACTACACCACCAGATCTATCTATGTGCCAAGTTTGGTGAAGACATATTGAACAGTTTTAGAGTTCTGCTCCGGAAAAGAGCGCTACCACCAATTTCAGTCTAAGTCGAACTTGTGCCATGGAAACGCCAAAAATATTTTATTCAGAATTCCAAAACTACCAAAAGGCACCACAACACCACCAGATCCATGTATGTGCCAAGTTTGGTGAAGAAATATTGAACGGTTTTAGAGTTCTGCTCCGGAAAAGACAAATGTGCATGGACGGTCGGACGGACGGACGGACGGAGTCCATTTTAATACCCCCCGCAAAACGCGTTGCGGGGGATAAAAAGCCCAAAGTGATCCAGGTATATAATATTTACCACTTTGGTAAACCTACGAGCCTGGGCATGCTGCCACCAAACATGGATCTAAGCCAATCTTCTCAGGTTTGGGAGAACAAGGGACACAACTCTGTAACACATATTACAGTCCCTGGGCCACTCTCCTCTGCCAGGAACTTGAACATTGGAAGAGGAGCAACTAATAATAGCAGCTGGGGCACCTTGGACCACAGACTGAACTAAGTTGCTGTGAATAGCTGCTAAACTTGCTGATGGTATTAAAGGGGAAGTGTACACGAATAAATCACATTTATTCTTATGTGAATCAAAGTGAACTGTTTAAACTAGTTAATACCAATGTTTGAAAATATACACTCATTTTTCTTACAATGTAAGTATAACCCTCAAAATAAGTGCTGAAATGTTATGCCAATATGAGGTATTTGTTTGCCGAGCTAAACAGGCCAGAGTTACCGCCCTTTGATTATGACGTAATTGGTGCCACTTGATTTTCAACTGGTCTCCTGTCTAGTCCCAAATCAAAAGATAATAATACTGATATTAATCACGTGACAAAAAGTTTGTGAAAATACGAAGAAGCATTACAGAGCAGAAAATGTAAGCAGCAGGACGGATTGATTGCATGTATTTTCATTCATAACCTCGCCTCAATGAAAATACCAAATATGTATAACAATGTTGACGTCCGTATGACATCACTATTGGGAAGCGACTTTTTCAAAATGGCGTGTTCACTGACACGAGTACGAGTACGAGATATTTTCGTTGTTTCAAGCAACGTATATGCATAAATGTGACATGTAAGTAGTCCGAAAATTCTGTCAGTCTGCTGGTTGTTATTTTCTTTTTGTTTTCATTGTGACCAAGGGAAATAGTCAGAAATTTAGAGAACTACCGTCATCGTTGTGTGTGAGTTTGCATCAGTTATGGCGTCATGCTTTCAAAAACTATAATATGTTGTGATGAATCTAGAAATCATTGGAATACACCTGTTTTATTTTACTATCGCTTGCTACGATACCTTCTCCATGCATGTTCTAAAACTAATGAGCAATTGTATGTAACAAGTAGGCGAACGGATACACAGTGTAAAATCTGAGATTGGCTTTGTATACATTTCAAACAAGTATTCTTTCACAGCGCGGCATCTCATATCGTCGATATATTTCGTTAGATTTCACTGAAACACGCCATTATTGGTGACAAAGTCCATTTGTCAGTTTATTTTGAACTGTGTGAGGAATTCAGGGATTCGTGTCAGGAAGATGGTGTTGAATTTTATGGATCGAAACATAACCGACATACATGTGACGTGATTTTATAAACACTATGTAATTTGGTTGAAAATTCACTTTGGCGCTTTGCGTATTTTCCAAAACATTCTCAGCGATTCTAGGTTCATTGATAATGTTTCAGAACGAGCATTGGTGATTCGATCATACAACAACAAAACTACCGCTGATCACAATGATCACGTCTTATTCTTTTAAATTCAATTCTCCCAGTAAAATTTGACATTTGAATTAAGACATACTATAAATTACGCAAAACGCAGTGAATGTAGATTTAGTAATGTGTCAAAACTGGCGAGATTTACGATGCATGTAATTTTCAGTAAATTTTATCTACAATGAGCGGATGATATCATAGAAAAACGAATTTCAAACAGTGTTCAAAACTACAAATTGCATTTATCAGTGCGATGTATTTTGATATGTACTTTCGATATCAAAGTGAATTAGGTGGAAGAGGAGTGACATATCGTACAATTTATGTAAGAAGTTTAGTAACAAATGTAGAATGCCGGCACATTCACCGATGGCAAGCAAGATGTAGTGCATATACGTTTTCGGTTTCATGAAAAAAGATACTGTTGGAAAGGCGACCGACTCAGGTTTAATATGTTATACAATTTGGTTACGTGGTAACACTTTTAGTACAATGTATCCGTTTATTTTCAAACTGCAACGTCATTACAGTGTAGAACTGACCACATAGTAAGCTGACGGCCAAGCAACAGGTGGATTAAAACAGTAGCCTGCGCATCGAGACACAAGAACCACACCTATACCTGCACCACGTGAAATGGGTCTAATAAGGTCTGACGACGTCATTCGTTTATCGTTTGGGCACCAATGACGTCATTTCCAAGGGACATAAGCCATGGTGTGTTTATTGTGGACATAGAACTCTCGGTAAATGTTGAAAAGATGAATTGATATAACGCAAATAATAAATTAGTTACTTCTGATATATGTACGGGTTTGGATATAAAACGACTTGATAAACACTTTTTATGAAGAAAAAGTGCAAGACAAAAAGGATAATTTTCGTGTACACTTGCCCTTTAAGAAACATTCAGTCACTCATCCATTGTTACCTTTCTGTGAGTGAGTGAGTTTAGTTTTACACTCCACTCAGCAATATTTCAGCTATACAGCGGCAGTCTATAAATAATTGAATCTGGACCAGACAATCGAGTGATCAACAGCATGAGCATCGATCTGCGTAACTGGGAACCGATGACATGTGTCAACCAAGCCAGTGAGCCGGACCACCCGATCCCGTTAGTCGCCTCTTACGACAAGCATGGGTCACTGTAGGTTCATTCTAACCCGGACCTTCACGGGTAGTCACTTCTCTTTAGACCTTATGGCTCCCCATTCCCATTCTGGTCATGTAAGAAGTATTAGTAGTTTGACCTCAGTCTGTTTCAGAAAACAGAGTGTATTAGGTACTGACAGTTTACAGAGTACACAACCATAAGCAAGAAAGCTGTGCAGTTGCATGATATCAGTGTGCTAAGAGGAATATATGGTAAACCATGGTTGTGGCAAACAACACACCAACACAAGAATCACTCTGGCAAACCTAATCTAGCGTTATTATCAGTTCTGACAATTGGCTAATGTTTTAAATGACATTGTGGCTGTTAAAATCAAAACAAATAGCTTTTCTGGTGAGAAATTTGGATTGGAAATATTTTTGACAATTTTCTCTTTCATTTAAATTATTTTGTGGGTGTGAAAATAAAACCAAATTGTTTTCTGGTAACAAATTTGGAATAGAAATATTTTTGAAAAATAGCCTCTCTGATTACAATTATTTTTACTCTTTTACCCTTGATGAGAAATTTAGAGGTTTCTGGCTTCTTTCCTTCCCCAAGTGTTCAAAGACTGAGATGTAAAGTCTACTGTACACATGACTGACATAGTCTTCTCGTCCTTGTGTTTGTCAGAACCGTGATATACTTATGTACTTGCTTGTTTCTACAGGTGCACGATTAGACTTCAGTTTCTCTCTGTGACTATTGTGCTTTTCTATATACATAATCAAAAAAAATTTCCTAATGCTAAAGCTTCTTTCAAGCTAGGAAGTGCCAGATCTCTGAAATCCCTGTGTCTGTAGGCACTCCCTAAGCTCTGTAGAGTAAGCAACGTGTGATGAATGATGAACAATACATTTGGCCTTAAAAGTGGTACTTTTCTAAACACAAGTCCAGATGACTGGAGCAAAACATATATCACTGTTCCTTTGAATTTTAAAGATTGAAGCTAGTCCTGTTTAACTGATTTGTTAAACCAAGAAAACCTGGAACAAATGTAAAGAATTACGGCCCTCAAATATTGCTAGTCTAGGATTTTATATTGTCTTTAGTACAACTTAGCTTTCTCAGGTTTAATATTAAATGGCAATCTCTCGTTGGCAATCTCTCGTGACCACTTCCATGGCATGTGACTCTTAGGGAGCATGAACCAAGGTAGATAACTCTAGTGATCGGGACTTAAATCTGTTTCCACTGTCGCTATGCTCCTGTACTGTTTGTTCGGATAATGAAGGCAGACAAGGGCACTGTCTCACATCAGGTAAGGCATAGCCAGACAATTGACCTTGACCCTTTAACAAAACCAAAATAACAAGCGGTGTGTGTAAAAAGCATCACACCGTTCTATTAATACTGACAATGAGATTTATCTGTGTTACTAACTGTTTACAGAAATATGTAACCATTAATGCCTGGAATTTTAACAACTTAAAAATATTCACTTGGTTATATGCAACTTTTTACATCTAAAGATTAAGAAAATTATTCACATTAAACTGAAACCTGTCAAAACCAAACACTGACTAATCGGAATTTAAACCAGAATTATGCCAATGACTTTGTTGTTTGCTCAATGAAACATTTAAAATGTGACTTTATTTTAAGTTCAATGAAACAGAACTGAACAAAAATATATGAATCCTGATTTGCTGATCCCTGGTAGAGGAATGATTCTACACAATACACCAGGTGACAGCATCGCTACTTGTCAAGACAAGAATGTGATACAATGGCAGAGACATCAGATTGGTAGCCGTCCGTACCTGAAACAGCTTTACAGACAGCGACTGCCCTATAGCTGGAATATTGCTGAGTAGATGTTTAACAACAAAATACATAGCAGTGTATGAAACTTGTAGAAAAACATCACTTAAATGATCAGGCTGGCGTGAGACATGAGACAAGTCATGCATTAGAGGGGGCTGGCACAGTCAGTGTGAGAAACCCAGGTAACTCTCATGTTCCTGACATAAATACACATGATCAGTATATTTTACTCTTCCCTCCCCTGTAATAAATGACTGGTCCCTAAGCACAAGCGAGTATATGTTAAAGCACCTGCTGAAGGCATAGGGGGAGTTGTCAGGGTTGAGAGGTGGGACAGGCTGGGAGAACCTTGTAGCCAGTCGGAGATCCAGTGTCTGGTCACTTGGTCCTTTCTGTGCTGCAGGTGCCCCTTGCTTACCGACAGGTGACTTCTGAGTTGCAACTGAAAAATAACAATGTAAAACAGGAAATAAACACAATGTATTTTAAATGTAGAACTGGTTTGATGTAATCTAACCCAATACCAAAATACATGATTAGATGTATACCGTTCTTTTCTGATGGGAAAACAGCAGAAAAAGATATGACCCAATCCGAGAAACAAGCTTGTTTCACCTTAATGGCAAACATGAACGATATGCAGACTACAGCTCCACTCACCGATTGCCTGTATAAGAGAAGCCAGTCTGTCCATGCACTGCTGACCCAGCTGGATGTGACGGAGGACTTCCTTGGACGCCACGACTCGGCCTCCTGCACAACAATTAACAAAAGTAGAATGTGAGTGAGTGAGTGAGTGAGGTGAGGTGAAATTGGGTTTTACGTTGTGCTTGAGAATATTTCGCTCATATGACGACGTGCATGCATGTGTATGTATATGTGCGGCTGCTTGTACTGAGCCCAGACTTAAGCTGGTTTTATAGTGCTAGCCCACTGAGATACCATGCCGCAGTGAAGCATGAATACCCCACTCAGACACATTATACAGACTCCGAGCCGACCAGTCCTTGTTGTACCCATTAATGCTGAGCGCCAGGCAGGGACCAACAAGTACCATATTTTAACGTCTTTTTGGTATGACGCGGTCAGGGATCGAACCCACGACCTTCCGCTCTCCGGGCGGACGCTCTAACCACTACACCACGGAGGCGGTCTGTGAGTGAGGCTGTGAGTGAGCTCTCAAGCAACTTTAAAGATTATTTCAGTAATGTCACTGTGTGTTGGCTTAATTTTGGAGTAAACATTCACAGCAACTCAAATAGCTCTGGCTTAAAGCAGATAACACCAGATCAAAAGGGTACTTGCCTTCTGTTTTAACATTGTGGAGAAGGTTGCTGACTATGCCCAGAACACACTCAGAATACTTGATGTATGCATCCTGAAAACAAAAATCACATGATAATGACAAAATATAATTTAATGAAATTCAGTGTAGCCTTTTACATCATCATTGTTAAGTACAAAAGTTATGGGGCAGGAGTAAGTGAGTATGGTTTTACAACACTTTCAGCAATATTCCATGAAATAGGCATCACACATATCATCGATGTGGGCAATCAAACCAAGGTCTTCTGTGACAAGTGAATGGTTTAACCACTGGATTACACCCTACAAGGCAGGAATTGCTGAATATGTGAGGACCAATATGTCTACTATGTGTGATATGATGTTAACCCTGGTGATGCTACAGGGACAATTCTGTTCAATTATTATCATTTAAGGCAAAGCTAAATAACAAAAACCAACCTCTTGACAGTCAGGATCATTATAAATATCGCCAAGTTTGACATTTACTGCAAAATGTTCTGCATGCATTATAATGTAAATACTGGAACATATCTGAGTGTAGAGTAAACAAACAAACAAACAAACAGAAATGTCTGTGATCATTCTGAAATGTTGCATGTCTTTGAAAATATGCAAACACAAATGCTGTTTAGGATAATGTGTAAAAGATCATGTTTCTTTACAAGACTGTTACATCACCACACCAAAGACAGTGACAAATTTGCAATAGTTCTCACCTTAAGGTAGTGTTGGAGAATGAAATGTAAATGAAACTGAAAACTGTATGTATGGCATTATGTCTAGTAATTCACCAAGTGGGTATTTATTCACAATCGATGTACAAATTGCTCCTCTCATATCATCATTTCTAAACTTTTGCAAAGGGTAATAAGTGAGTGAGTGAGTATGGTTCTACGCTGCTTTCAGCAATATTCACGCAACATCACGGCAGGGGACACCAGATGTGGGGAATCAAACCCAGGTCATAATGACAAGTAAACGCTTTAACCACTAGGCTACCCCACCGCCCCAGAGGGAATAAGAATTGAAAACAAGAAACAGCTTAGAGAATGTCTATGGGCCGCGATGAATATCAGACGAGAGCAATTAAATGGTGAGATCTCAAGAACTTATTGACACATGACTTGAGTCCGAAATTCAGACTAAATGTATCTAGATTTCACTGACTGGGTTAGATAGCTGATCGGTGAGCTGGCGATTAGGTGCCTCACTCAGATAGTATGGGTACAAATCTCTGATGGAACTCCACGCCCAATCTGTAATTTACTGAGAAAGTGTAATACCAAATATAACATGTTACAATAGATTAAAAATGTGGTTCTTATGGCAATAATTTCAACTGGTTTGACTTGTGCTCAGCACTATCATCTGGTGACTACGTCTACTAATTAAGCCAGCAACCCTAACAAGACAACCAAAAGTTTGGAGGATTGTTGTTCTTTTTTAGGATTTGTATGAACCTGTTTAATGTGTCTCACAGTCCCTGAACGACATTATTTTGCCTACTGCCTAGCCCTCCCTGCAATGCTATAGCCCAAAATGAAGTCTAGATTTCCTTGGGTTCTGAATCTCCCATCTCACTGGGGCTCCTTTCAATTTCAATGGGTTTATTTGTTACTATTGAAATTATATATATTCAGAGACTAAGTGGTATTCTAGAACCTGTTGTGAAACCCTTATGAGCGCTCACTGACAGTAAATAATAATCTGTTAATTAGTGCTGGTATTTGCATACAACCTGTGATACGATACATCACGATACTAAAATTTTAGTCATGATGATATATTGCCAAAATATTGTGTACTGAAGCTGCGATACGATACGAATCCCGATATAAGGGTGGCGATACGATACATATCACGATACTAAAATCTTTAATTTCTAACACCAACTATAAAACACCTTATGATCAAACAAAACCATTTTAAAGTATTTTGTCAAATACCGCCAGCGTTTTTCAGTGTTCATTCGGAAACGAGATGATTAAGTTTATACACAGACTTTGTGAATATTAATAACACAGTTCTTGACACAATAATTTCCGAGAAAACGTTTATTTATGAAGGAAAGCATATATTTTAATAATAAAACATAAGTAATTCTTTTTTTTGACATACATCGCGATTCGGCAATATTCAAAGTTAAACATCGATGTATCGTGGTCAATTTGAAGTATTGTATTGGGATATACGACAATGTAAAAGTTTGTATCGATTCACTGTATCGGCGGCCCATGGATCGATGCATGCATATCGATGAATTGTCACACCACTACTGTTAATATGAATGAACAACATGTTATTGTTGTTCAAATCTTTTCGGGTTATACTAGTGAAGTATTACCTTAAACCCTAATCTGATGAAAAAGTAATCTGGCTACACAATTAAATACATAAATTTCACATTCTATCCTATTTGATGCACTTGCAAAAACCCAGATAGCATTCGGACGTTAGCCCTATCTGGGAAATGGGGCGTTTTAACCTGAACCTACTTGTATATGCATAGTGTATATTTCCTGCTTGATTTGTTTACATTTGAACGGAAATGAATGATATTATACATACTTGATACTTGTTTTCATCGTCCAGACGCAGAGCTTGTCCAATACTCTTCATTACCAAAACTAAACTTTGATCCATTGTTCAGAAATAATCACACCCTCCGTCTCTTGGTTTTACTCAATCTATGAAACAAATGTTCTTTCCTGAAGCACTGACGATGATAAGCCGATACATTAAGACATTAAGAGGCAATGTGGAATGTGTAGCCGAATTCAAAAGCAGCTAATGACACTCAAAAATTTCAACGTGGTGCAAGTTATCAATGTGTTTTGCTGTGAATATTCACAAAATTATACACTTATTACAATTCACTAACTGTCAATGAATCTCATAATATTGACAAATGGAATAGCTCGATCATCCCTTTGGCAGGTGCTTGTGATCAGAGCTATGTTTCCCTGTAGAATGAAACAGTTGTCGTAGCGAGTGATTTCATAAAATGATAATTTTCTATTTTTGAAAATGATCACATCAGTAGGTGGACTGAAAGCTATTTCTAAATATTAATTGAGCATTTTGTTATGAAGTTACCGCCTTTTTCCTAAACTGTGTGTGTGCAAACGTTCAACAAATGGTTAGTTGTAGAGCAAATAGTATGGGATCAAAGTACATTTTGTTTACGGATTTTACCGAATAGAAAAATGAAAATATATTTCGACGTTATTTACTTTATTAACCTCATTATAGTTAGAATTATATCAAAGTTATCTGCAACTGTTACATCTTAGAGTAGTTTGTGAAATAACATGACCGATGATAATTGGCGGGAACTCACGAAGTTCGCGTTGGTTAAGCAAAATGGCGGACGAAGAGGCAGTCCTGGTGGACGGGAAGCCAGTCGACGAACTAAAAGTAATCGATCTGAAGAGAGAATGCGACAAGAGAGGAATATCAAAGTTAGGAAGCAAAACTGCATTGGCTGACAGATTAAAAGCTGTAAGTTAGTACCAAATGCATGATCGGTTAGCGTGAATTACGGGTGAAAATGACCATAAACAAAAGTAGGCCAATCTTTTGACAGTGTCATTCATTTTACAACTTTGCCTGTCAAATTCAAGGAACAAATCAACAAATATGCTACCTTGCTACCTGGATTTTATCAGTGTAAATTATATTGATGCAACAATACGGTTGGAAAATACCGTATACATGAACGATGTTACTAATGTAAACAATTTATGACACGCATTGTTTTCTTTGTTAGTAAACATTCTTCTGGCGTTGTTGGCAAACAAGTCTTTTCGAATTCTCTTGCAGATTTACGTCCCTTTGACTAAATGTTAAACTTCTACTTTTTCTATCGTGTGCATTATTTCATTCTATTCAGCAACTTCTACTAGAAAAGTTGCAGACTCAAGCAAAGGTTTCTCCCAGGAGCGATGACGAGGGTGAGTTGTCTACCCTTGACCTGTCATGGGCCCCTGTCAAGAAACAGATGCAAAGTGATCTTAACATTTAAAATACGTTTATTTCATTTAGGTTTTTAGAATTAGATAGCTTTATCTAAACCTAACTTCCTTTGTGGACCTGGAAAAATTTTGAAAAATATAACTGACAGGGATGTTCGCAAATATACCCAACATGTTATGTAGAAACAGGCTGATGGTTAAATTGGATATTTGAGCAAGTTTGACGGAGGTGTTCTTACAAGCAACTGCAATGAATATTTGATAACACATGCAAATAATGAAATTTTTCGTGTTTTTGAAGAAATAAGTATCTACGTAGAATTGTATTGTCAAGCTTTATTGATGGTGCCACACAATTGTGATTGAAAATGAAATGTTTTTATCCATGTATTTCAACTGTTCATTTTGTTTTGTTCCAGCACATGTTCCAAATCAGGCTGTAAGTGTTATTTACTTTTTTATTTGTCTTGTCAGTAAAATTTGAAAAATCATAATATTGATATGCTTGTACTGTAACCATGTGCCTTAGGATGAGTCATATTAAGTCTTTCTGTCTCTAGACAAAGCTGATATGATAACACATACAAACATTAGCACAAAATGTTCTGAATATTATGACAAAACACAATTTTTTTGAATGGGAACTCAAAAGGCTTAACACAGGCTTAGACAGTTTTAAAGTTGTGAGAAATGGGCACATAGGTTATGTATGTGTCCATGCATATGCTTATGAGGTTTGTTAAAATACATTTCTCGTTTCTTATGAGCTGCCCACCCCTGAACTAAACTTGTCTGAAATGAAAAATATAAATGATGATTTACTAAGTTTGATAAAATGCTTATCTTAACTTTATAACCTTGTTCATTTTCTGTTAGTACTTAAGACAGACCTCCTTCAAATCTATTAAACATATCAACATCGTTTTCACATAACATATTCCATATGCCTTTTGCTGTCCTGTAGAACATAGTAAATGTTTTGTCAGTGATTTGGGAATGGTTTAGAATGTGTCCCTAGTAACCTATGCTTTTCATAAGAGTGAATGAGTGAGTTTAGTTTTACGCCACCAGGGATTGGGAAAGGCAGGGCCATGGGCCATTTTGCACATTAGAATAAAAAATGCCCCATTAAAATTTTGAAGTTTACTATTGATACAAAGGCCCATTCTAAAATCAGTAAATGGCTAATAATCCTGAAAATGACCCATTGTCAAAGTTCTCTATCCCAATCCCTGTGCCACACTCGGCAATATTCCAGCTATATGGTGGCAGTCTGTAGATAACCGTGTCTGGACCATACAGTCCAGTGATCAACAGCATGGGCCTCAATCCACGCAATTGGGATACAATGACATGTGTCAACCAAGTCAGCGAGCCTGACCCCCCGATCCCGTTAGTTGCCTCTTACGACATGCACAGGTTACTGAAGATCAATTCTAACTCGGATCCTTACGGGTTGTGAGACTAAGTGAGTGAGTGAGTTTAGTTTTACGCCACACTCAGCAATATTCCAGTTATATGGCAGTGTTCTGTAAATAATCGAGTCTGGACCAGACAATCCAGTGATCATCAGCATGAGCATCATATGACTAAGAGATGACTCAGTAGATCATGATGATCAGCCTCAGTGAATTGGTTGATGGTTTGTCATATTCAGATGGCATGGATGACAACATGAACCTCTGAATTGTCAGGTCCAGACATGATGATTTACAGGCAGCTGGAATTAAGACTGAGTGTTGAAGTAAACAGAACAGAACAAAACACACATAGCCACAAACTAACATGCACCCACTCATTAAATGACATAGAGCTTTTATGAAAAACTTCTTAATTAACTACTAAACTGTCAATGTCGGCAATAGGATAGAGTGGCTGAAATTTGTGAAATGTCATGGTTTCCAGAATTAGAAAATACAAAACGTAAATAATGTTTGCTAAACGTTTAAACTCTGTAACACTAAATGATCATATCATCTCTGTGTTTTACCTCATTCAGGAAAGCCTTGTATGTAGATAGTCAAATTTTGATGTATTTCAATGATTGAAGGCAACAGTTATCCTTTGGTCCAATTCTTACTGCTCTCAAGTTTCACTATCTCGATCAGTTATCTTAAGTTATATATCAGATCCTTATGGCAACAAAAGTTTTTAGGGTTAGAACTTTAACTACTTGTATTATGTCATTTGTCACATTTCAATTTTCAGCTTCAAAATGATGAAATTGCTGGCCAGAATGACTTCATCAAACAGTACTTAGCCCGTCAGCAAAAGTCACTGCAGATGCAAATGGAGGTGAAGAAGAAAATTGAGGGTCAGTCATTTTGGATTTTTTGGCATGGACTTTCTTTTCTTATTCTTGTTTTAGCTTATCAACTTGTTGATTGTGTTATCATGAGTATGACTTTATGTGATGACAAAATGTAAGTTTGTGTTTCTGTTCATGAATTTGCATTTGAATTTGTGTTTGTCCTTGCACAAGTAAGGGGGGTTTCCTTACTTTTTGAATTCTTCTTGTTTGTGTAAATAGAGCATAGTGGTTATGTACTAAACAGTACTGACTGCTATGTTGTGGCAAGGACATTTTCGTGGCATGACAGCAATCATCAAATCTCCAGTCACATCCATCTATTCATACAGTTAAATCTTTTTCCATAATTTAATGACAGTGTTAATGAATTTATAAAATGTATATGAATATATTGTGTCTTAAACGTTGTTATGGTGCTTCCAACTCTTTTGCTTATGTTGAAATCAGTTTCTGTTAATATATTATTCAACTGCAATGTTTGAATTGAAATGAAAATCAGGCTCAAATGGTCCCCGTCACAACCCCCAGTCAAACAACAAGAATTCAATGGATAACTAGCTTAAAATAAGCAAATCCTAAGGATCCCCAGACCCCTCTTTCATTGTTATGCTGCAACGCTAATATTACAACATGTTAGTTTTCATAATATATCTAAGGATATCCTCAGATCCTTCAGGTCTTCCCCTCTGCAGAGATGCCAACCTCTACGATTTTATCGTAGTCGGTACAAATTTTAGCCTCAAACTACGCTATTACGATTGCACTAGAACTTCTATTAAATTTGAGGAAAATTCATTAAAATTCGGATATATAGACAAAAACATATTTTCGTCGATTAAATACATTTTCACCCAAAAGCGACAAGAAGAAATGTAATGCTGATAATTTGGAAATATGCTGTTGGATGTATGTGAAATTAAAGCTTACTCTTGATTAGTGTCATATTATCTTTCTCAGAATCCATCATGATTTTAATTATTTAGTTGACTACTAATTTTATGGTCAAACTACTAATTTTCATCCTTGAAACTACTATTTGCAAACACTTTGGGGTTGGCATCTCTGCCAGTGGTATCTGAGTCTAAGCACCGATAATTCTTTCACTTGTAACATTTGGGTTATTGCCAGGACCATTTAACTTGCAAGCACAAATTTGAAAACTGATATTCATCAGTGCAGGTTTGGAGACCTACTGGTCTATTTCAATTTTCATTAGTGCTCAAGTTTTCTTTCTATCACCCTTGTGACATTGCTGGCATATTGCTAAAAGTGAAACAATACTCACTCACTGATTCTATTATTATTTTATAACTAACTTGTTTGAAGTTTGTGTTTGCTCATCTTCAAACCAATTGTCTGGCTCTAGTTGCTTGTATGCTGCAGTTATACACAGTGTAATCAGCAGCTGTCACTAGTGTCAGTTTACTTAGTCAAAAGCCCTTGTTTAGATGTAATCATGGTATCCAAATACAGAATGTAAATCTAAGTTTTCCTTAAAGTTGGGATATCATATTTCAGAGAAATTCAAGTAAAGATTGGATGTCACAGTGATTGAGGTGAACTTTGTTTGGATGATAATGATCATATATTTCCAGTTTCTTTTAGGCACTGTTTTTGACACACTAACAATGCAATAAATGTAATATTGATACATCTGAAGAAATGCTAACATGAAGCATTGTATATACTGTACAAGTTTAATACCAGTGTGTGTCAAGATTCAGCTGTTTAATTCCAATTCTCTTTACCAAATTTTATCACTGAAAAAGAGGAAACGTGAGGTGACTAGAAAACCAAAGAAATTAGCTAGGTGTGTTCACAGACCAAGGCCTACCCAGTACAGTTTGTGCCAAAAGATTTAGCACGCTAATCCAGATATGGCTCTCAGTATATTTAGTACACATTAGTGATATTATATGGACTAATATCAACTCAACTTACTGTAACAAACGAGGTTAACTTGACACAGGCTTGATACTAGTGGCTAATATCACAGACTGGCCACTTGTACTCTAGTATGCTATAACAACTGCATTGCCCCAGATGTTGATTGTTTTATTGTTATATTGTTAGCACTTTATCGCACCTAGCAGGATTGGTCTTTTTGTACTTATTGGCTTCTCTCCCATCAATCCAATTGACATCCTCGTTATGTTGTTATCTTTGTGCATCAATCCTATCATAACCTTATAGAATACCCACAGATTTATGGA